TATATATATATATATATATATATTTGAGGGGGGGGTGTCTATAGGTGTAGTAAGAATCACACCCTTTGGACTTTCCCACAACTAAGTCTAGAATGCAATTCAAATCTCCAGATCACCATAGGCTTCTCCCAATTGTGTTAATTCTCCCTTAAAATGTACATTAAGCAGAATAAGTTAGACACTTTCATTGTAGAAACTGAAAGGCCTACTTCTGAATTTTCATCTGACCAATACAGCCTGAACTTCTTCCTCTTCTTGAGGATCTTTCACAAAAGAATCCCAAATTGGGCTGAGGTTGTGGCTCAGTGGTAGAGCACTTACCTTGCATGCACTAGGCACTGGGTTGGATCCTCAGCACCACATAAATGTAAAATAAAGATATTGTGTCCAGCTAAAACTTAAGAATAAACATTTAAAAAAAAAAAAAAGCCTCCCTAATCAAAACTAATACCAACAGCATTTACTGTGAACTTTGGTGTAACATCACTCTTTGGTGCTTGGAGGAAAAAAAAAAAAAAACATGTTTAGCTGAAGACCTTGAAAGAACAAACACCTAATGTGTATTCTCTGCACAGTTAGAGGGAGAAAAGACTGGACAGGATCCCCATTGAGGTTTCCAGCTGAACCTGAAAATTTGGCATGAAACAATTTATCAAGACAAAAGCACACAAATGTATTTCATATAAGTTTTATGAGACAGGTTAGCCTCTAAGTTGAAGAGAGATGCAATAGTGTCTGAACAATGTGATGCGGCTTATGGAAAGTGGGAATTATTTTAATTATGTCTGTTTATATAGAATCATCTCAGCTATGACTCCTTACTGAAGAATATTTCTTTTCGCTTGGTACAGGGACAGCATCAGCATTTTTCACAATGAAATAATTTTGATTTTAGGAAACAGGGGAAATTAGAATGCCCTTCTTCATCTTCTACTTTTAAGGACCTTGGGCTCAAAATAGTCCTTATGCAAAAGTAGCCAGTCCATGTGGAAATGCCATTTCTGCCAAAACTAAAAACCTCCATTTGCTCTCCAGCCCTCCCAGATCATTTCCCTAATACATAGCAGTAAGTACTTAACCCAATATTAAATGGTGGCACTAGTCTTAACATATTAAAATGTTCAGTAATTTTTTCCCTTGAATATGAACTTCTTCCATTATTTAATTTTTAAATATATGCTGTAATTTAATTTCTAAACCGAGATCAATGCAACTTAGTAATGCCAAGTAAAAAAGGATTTAAGCAAGCTAAAGCTTGGACTATTTTAAAAAGGGCATAAAACAATTCACAACTTGGGTAAATTGCTATATGCCTGAAAATGCTCATATCAAAAAGATTATTAGGTTACCTCCATTTATAATTAGTAAACTAATTGGTCTTAGATGACATCATAAACTAGGAGCAAGCCCTACCCAAATGCATGTGCAAGAGGCTGGCATCAAGCTTCCAACAAGATTTGACAACTGCAAATTCGAAAATTATGCTAAATTATGCTAAAGACTGTAGCACTGCGTAAGATGTCAAGTAAATTAGGTAAATTAAGACTTAATGCAGAAGCTATCTTTCATCCCTATGGAAATACAGAAGCTAAAGGGATGATAGTTAATAGCCAAGTTGGAAACAGAAACTGCTGTTCTTAAGTGTTCACAGCTGCTTTCCTTGGAACACTTAGGTGGCTCTGAAAAGAGCCTTTGGGTCATTTACACTAGGCCAAAATTGGGTTGGTTTTATGCCCTCTCTCCACGGATGCGGCGCGCCAGCTGGATGTCCTTGGGCATGATGGTGACGCGCTTGGCGTGGATGGCGCACAGGTTGGTATCCTCGAACAGCCCCACCAGGTAGGCCTCGCTGGCCTCCTGCAGCGCCATGACGGCCGAGCTCTGGAAGCGCAGGTCGGTCTTGAAGTCCTGCGCGATCTCGCGCACCAGGCGCTGGAACGGCAGCTTGCGGATCAGCAGCTCGGTGGACTTCTGGTAGCGGCGGATCTCGCGCAGCGCCACGGTGCCGGGCCGGTAGCGGTGAGGCTTCTTGACGCCGCCGGTGGCCGGGGCGCTCTTGCGGGCGGCCTTGGTGGCCAGCTGCTTGCGCGGCGCCTTGCCGCCGGTGGACTTACGGGCTGTCTGCTTGGTGCGAGCCATGGGAAAACCGAAGTAACGTCTTCACAGACTACTGTGAACGTTAAAAGCCACCCTTCCTTTTATACAGTCAGATTACTGACTATTGGGCCCGAGAAATTCAAAAGTACCCGCGCTTTTCCTGGATTGGTTCATCTCCTTGCTGAGGTCTCCGGATAAAGAGCTGCCTACAGGTTGATGCACAAATCCCACACCCTGCTCTTCCCGGTAGCTATTTTCACATTTTTATTTATTTACTTATTTATTTGAGTCTGTGTCGATTGTAAACTCAAGTATTGCACCATAATGTCTGAAGGAGACAACCACACAGATCTACACGGGAATACCCAATAGATGCTGGCAAAAACAAAACAAAAAACCTATTAAAATATCTTGGGAGCCATTTAGGGAAACTTGGTGTGTGGGTTTCATTTCAAACGAAAGTTTACCTGGGCATGGCACTAGTAGGGTGGACATTGTAAAAATTATGACTTTGTAGGATGAATTGCTGAGAGTTAATCGCTAAGTTCATTTTGCTCTTCATTGCTGTATTTGGGTTTTGATTTACACTGAGGATAGAACCCAGTACCTTGAGCATGTTAGGCAAGTGCGCACTGAGCTACATCCAACTGGTTTTGTACTCAGGATTGACCCGAGGGGTCTTTTACGTAGAGCAATATTCCCATTTGTTGAGGTCTCCACTCGTTTAGCTATCCAACTTGCCATATACAGCGCCTTATGTGAAATAGGAGGGGTCATTGTTATATTTTCCTTCTCCCCACAGTATACAACAACTTTTATTCAACAACTTTGTATCTGCAAAAAGGTTAGTATTCCCGAGGCAGTACATTTTGCTGTATAGCCTTCCCCCTACATTTACTAATTACTGAGTAACTACTAGGGGCCAGTTTCTTTTTAGAACCCAACTCTTAGCGTAACAGCTCATTTCACAGAAATAGTGGGTGGCTCTTAAAAGAGCCTTTTGTTTATAACCTTGATAATCTTTCCGGCTCAAGGAAAACTTAGAGGCCAGTGAGTTATCAACACCTTATTTTCCCTTGGCCTTGTGGTGGCTCTCCGTCTTCTTGGGCAGCAGCACCGCCTGGATGTTGGGCAGGACACCGCCCTGAGCGATGGTCACACGGCCCAGCAGCTTGTTGAGCTCCTCGTCGTTGCGGATGGCCAGCTGCAGATGGCGCGGGATGATGCGCGTCTTCTTGTTGTCGCGGGCCGCGTTGCCAGCCAGCTCCAGGATCTCGGCCGTCAGGTACTCGAGCACCGCCGCCAGGTAGACGGGCGCGCCGGCCCCGACCCGCTCCGAGTAATTGCCCTTGCGCAGCAGCCGATGCACACGTCCCACCGGGAACTGGAGACCGGCCCGAGAGGAGCGAGTCTTGGCCTTGGCCCGGGCCTTGCCGCCTTGTTTACCGCGACCAGACATTTTAGCTTGGTTTAAGAAGACAGAAAGGCTCTATGGAAAACCTAGGTAAAATGCCATGAAGGCCTGCAAATGAGACATATTTATACTGATTGGAGGTAGGCTGTGCGGAGCTCTCCTATTGGCTAATGGGAAATACCCAATGGGCAAACAGAATTTGAATCCTTCATTTGCATACAGCTCTTCCATCTATTGTAAGGTTTGTGTTTTATCCAATCACCAATCGTACTGGGTGAGCCTTACTTCAAAACCAATAATTGCATCAATTCAATTTTTTTTTTTTAATTTTTTTAAAACCAACTGTGGGCTGGAGTCTTTCCGCTCATTGTTGACTTTGGGCCACTCGTTCCTTTCCGGAATTGAGATTTATAATTTTCCAAAGGAATGAGTTCAGAACCTTTCCCAGAAGGCTAGGAAAATGTACTTCTTAACTTCACAACGGAAAAGAGGGAGTAAGAGAACAATGATTCTTCATCACAGCCCACCTCTAATTTCACGACTTGAACAAGGAAAATAGGACAAGGACTGCATTCTAGATGCTGGAGAACTGATAGATCTTAAAAATTTATTTCCCTTGCCCAGGGTAATACTGACTATCACCTCCAGACTGGAAAACAAAACAACAAAAAAAAAACTTTTGCATGATTCTCCACTACCATTCCCAACCTTCCTGCCCTTGCAATTTTCTCCTTTGATTACAAACAGCATTCTGCTTATTTCTGAAACCTCTCCACCAATCTCTACCCCTTGTATTTATAAGGTTGATAATTTACCAACTACAATTTTAATTGAGAGGGAATACTTTCCCACCACTCTGAGGGTTTGACAATCAGTCTGTGAAATAAATAGACAACAGCATATTAACAGGAGAAAAGGATATGTGGGTTATACAAGAAAGAAAATGAATACTCAAAAGCCCAGTGAGCTCTAGAAGCTGCTATACTCTTCAAGGGGGCATGGTACCTGGGGGAATCTGATTTTGAGGAAAGAGATAGGGGTCCTCAGGATACAAGATAGTCTGCTTGATGCTGTATTGACCTCCAGTCTCTTCTATGATATATGTCATCTTCCCTGTTAAGATTCCTAAAGGAAATTTATGACATCCTCTTTAGGCAGGTCAAGTGATTTCATGGAAAAACTGGGTTTGCTCTTCAACAAGTGCCCTCTGTTGGCCATAATCAACTTGCCCAAATGGAATGCTTAAGGATATTATTTCCTGAATCCTTTCATAACCTTGAAGCTCATAAATAAATATGAGGAGTCTCTAGGTTGTTCTAAGAAATGAGAAAATACACACTAGCACAGAAATACTCAAGTGAGATTATATAAAATGATACACTATTATAAATATGACTATGGTTCATTAATTGTTAGTAAGCTCTCATGTCAAGGAACATAAAAATCAAAAAAAAAAAGATAGCTAGCAGATAAAGTACTGTTTTCCATTTTATGTCACATTAGACAGGAACAGATGGCACCCAGTTGGAGGGGAATCATTACTTCTGAAGGCTCAGATCCAAAGATCTACTCATACTCAAAGAAGAACATATGAACAAGGACTTGGGTGTGAGAAATCTGCCGCCTGGGGATGGTGCTTAGTGTTAGAGAATTTCCTAGCATCATGTGTGAACCCCTGGGTTCCATCCCCAGCACCAATTAAAAAAAAAAGAAAAAGAAAAAGAAAGAAAAGAAGAGAGAGAGAAACTAACTTTCATGAACATATAATCCTTGGGAGAAAAGAGATGGCAGGTTCATGACCAGTCTGGGCAATTTAGAGAGACCCTATCTCAAAATAAAAAAATAATAAGGGTTAGGTTATAGTTCCAAGGTAGAGTACACCCGGGTTGATTACCCAATACCTGGAAGGGGGAAGGAAAGTACAGAAAAAAAAAATTCTGATCTATTCTTAAGTCACATTTGTCACTGAACCATGATTTGATCCAGGGAAACTGGCAGGAGAGTAAAGGTGCTCATTTTCTCTTAACAGTTTGTCTTCTCTCAAATCTTCTGATATATGACTTTCAATTATAGTCAGAGTTCTATTATTTTTAATGACTGTCTTCACTTTCAACACCACCAAATATATGTTTAAGACATTTTCCTAAAAGGTTGACAGTCTTTTGAGAAGTGAGGACACATATATATGATGATCAATAAGCAGTGTATCATTTGCATACAAAATGAAGATTTGAGGGACATATAAGAGTACAAGAAGGAGAAGACTGACCACCGTAAATTATAAAAATCAATAAAGTTTATGAAAGACACATGTGCTCAGCATTTATTCAACATACATCTAATAGGACCTGCTAAATGCCAGTGACCATTCTAGGTGCCTGAAACATGGCGGACAAAGCTGAGAGCAACCTGGGCCCTCTGGGTACTAATTTTCTTGTTCAGAAAGCTCACAAAAAGATAAAGGTGTACATGGTACAGTGTAGAGTTTTTTGTAATGAGTGCTGTGGAGAAAAAGATTGGAAGGAAAGAAGTTGGCATGAACAGGGTGGGGAGGGCCACCATCAGCAAAAGGAAACATTGGAGTGGAGATCTTATGGGTGAAGAAGCCAGTATGGTGGGCTAATTAAAGACTTCAGTATAATGTCAGGTATATTAAAAAACAGGGATGTCAGAAGCCAATGGTCAGAAGTTCTGCTTGTTTAATTTCCTGAACAAATAGGCTTTTAGCTGGAGCAATGGAAATGTACAGGGTTACATAAACATAGAAGCCAACATTAAAAATGTTGATGTTTTTTAACATCAAAAACCCAGACTAGAAGAAGGAGTGGAGTACATGCAGCCATAGCATCAGGATTCTATATCGATGCAGTCACCAATGAAACAAACAAACAAAATCTTCCACTGATGCACGTCATCTTGAGTCAGATAAATCAACAAGCACTTGGCATCTGATATTCAGGAAATAACTTGATGAAATAATGTTATCAAGATTTTCAATGTCAGTAAATTCTAAAGACCTTTGGGGGAAAAAAAATGTGATTTAGGATTTAGAGAGATATTGGGTGTCACCTGTTCCATTCAAATAGGACAGAAAATGTAGCAATGATAACTCCAACCCCATTAGCAGTGAAAGCAAGATATGGTTTGCATGAAATAAATATATATTTTTTCTTTAATACAAGCAATGAAAATATGTGACTTTATATCCTTGGGAAAAAAATTCTTTCCTTGAGGTTATGACACAGGAGGAAAATTTTTTCCTCTACTGATTCTTGGTTGTTGGTTTTGTCCTATCATAATAGATAGACAAAATAAAAGCATATCAATTTCTTTATTTTTTTTTATACATGGCATAGAAGCCTTAAGAAGCACTTTGACCTGCACACATAAGTTGGACAGAGTAGTAAACTGTGATAACAAGACAAGACCAAGCAACTTAGACTAGGGCAGAACTGACAGGGAGATGAGGGTTAGTTTAGCAAGGTTGTTTTTACAGAGTTTTTTCCACATTGACTCCCTGATACCATCAGAGGATAGGAATATCTTCTTTCTCTAGGTACAGGTAAGAAACTTTGCACAAGGGAGTTAAACATGAGATAAAATTGTGCTGTCTTCAACAGCCTTTAACTCAATTTTCCAGGGTAACATATTTTGAGGTGATAAGTTCCAAACTCCTTCAGTCAATTAAGGGCTGCTTTGAGACCTTCCAGAAGGCACAAGTCATCCAGCCACTGTGCAAATGTCACTCTTGTGGCAGTAAATCTAGCTCAACACCAGGAAACAGAGAGGACTTCAGGACTAGAAGTGGTGATAATTTGGAAATTAACTTGAAAAAAGGAGTTGGAAATATACTCTCCCATATCATGACATAGAAATAATACATAAAAATTATTTCAAAAGCGTAAAGACATTTAATTCTGAATTAAGGCAAAGTAGACCACTTTCTTTCCATTTCTTACTAAATAGTTAAATATCCTTAGCTGGCCATACTGGTGCACACCTGTAATCCCAGATACCTGGGTAGGTGAAGTAGGAGGATCACATGATCCAGGCCAGCCTGAACAATTTAGGGAAGGCTTGTCTTGAAATAAAAAATAAGTTTGTGAATGTAGTTCCGTAGATGAGCATGGCCTAACAGTGGGAGACTCTGGGTTGGATACCCAGTACCCAAAATTTTAAAAAAGAAAAAGAAAGGAAAAAATCAATTCCTAAGCATCATCTATAAAACAAGCACAACAAGACATTGAAAGGTGGAGAAAAGGCAGGTTTGCTATTGTGACAGAATACTTTCCATAACTGTGACAAAATACCTGAAAGAAAATGTGCTTAAAGGAGGAAAGGTTTATTTTGGCTCCAGCTTCACAGACTTCAATCCCACATTCACTTCCCACCATTACTATGGGCTGGTGATGAAGAGAACCTCACAAAAGGGAGAATGTGGTGGAGCAACACTGCTCATCTCAGGGCGGCCAGGAAGCCAAGAGGGTGAAGCCCAGGACAGACGTTCCCTTCCCAGGGGGGCTGGGGTTATGGCTCTGTGGTAGAGCACTTGCCTAGCATGTATGAGGGTCTGGGTTGGAGTCTCAGCGCCACTTATAAATAAATAGATAAAATAAACGTCCATCAACATAAAAAAAAAAAAAAAAAGATATGCTCTTCCAAGGTGCTCTCCAGTGACCTGCTCCCTCCACCTGGGCTCACATTCACGCAGTGCTGCTCTCAAATCATGAACACTCTCTGGACCTGGACCTTCTGTTATCTGTGTCACTGTGGGGCCTTCCCTTTTCCAAAATCTATCAACCTTTCCTCAAATTGAAACTCTCCCACCACCCCTCTTCTCCTTTTCCTGTGTTCAGGCATCTTTGTTGGTTAAAGAGGCAAATCTTTCCATTACTAAAAAGGAGAACTGGATTGTTGTACAGTTTTCTTTCTTTCTTTTTCTTTTTTTTTTTCCTTTCATTTATTCTGTAACTCAAATACGCAACTCTTGAGAAAATGTGAGAATTTATTATGGAATGGGTTAGATAAAACCTGGTTTCATCTAAGTTTGTGGGCTTGTTCCCTGGCTCTGCCATGTCCAAAGATGAAGCTGCTTTAACAGAATCAACAAGGAAGATTTATGATCATGTATGGCTTCTCCCTACTATCCCCAGAGCCCAAACATCTGATGAGAGAGAGAGAGAGAGAGAGAGAGAGAGAGAGAGAGAGAGAGAAAGTAGGGGGGTAAAAAACCCCTAAGCCTTTGTAAAAGACTAAGTGTCAGAACCAATAGTAAAAATGCCTACCTTTGAGTGTAAGAGGACTGTTTTGGCTTGGGATTATCAAAGAAAGTTACAGTGTTTAGGTTTAAAAAAACCAAAAATCAAAAATCCTTGATTTTCTATTTGAAAGAAAAAAAAAGAAGGAAAGGGAAATAAGAGAAAAGGAAGGATGAAAATAAGGCAGGTGGAACCAAGGTATAAAGACAAGTTGGGGAGAAAAATCCTACCTCCTTCTACTTGAGAGATCACTGAAAACTAGTAGAAATGTTAACAGATATCCCCCAGGTGTTCCTTAAACTACAGGCTGAGTGGTTAATGCTTTGAGGGGAAGGATGGGCCAATTTACAGTCTAAAATGCAAAAATTGTTGATTTTTAAGACAAGGATCTCTTTTACAACAGAATTTTGCATATGCTGATACAAAGTGCTTTTCCTACAGGGGTCCACTGACATCATGTGTGGGATCCAGGCATTTTAAAATCTTCTCTAAAGGGAGCTCCTATTTGAAAAACTCTCCCTTAAATTTTCTTGCCTATGAAAACGTTACTGAATCTCACATGTCGCTGGGAATTTTTTTTTTTTTCCCCATATTCACTTGTAAGATAGAAGCCCACTCCCGGGCTCCGCTCTTCCCCAACCCCTGTCCCCGGACCCAGGCAGGCTCCTCTGAACTCCTCTCCACCAGCACCCTTCCAGAGTTTCTAGTCATTACTTTGGGAGTCCTGGGTTCTTGGGAAAAGGCCTGGGGAAAAACACTGTGTTCAAAATGGGCCCTCCCAGCCCATTACCAAGGAGCGCCAGATAAGGGCGCGAAATTCAAACCCTTTGTTCCTCTCAGCTCCAGAAAACATCCACGCCCTTTTCTAGGCAAAAGCCAGAACCCGAAGTTTGAGAGGGCACCTGCGGTTCCAAATTTACATAAATTCTAGTTGTTGACAATTATCACGAAACTAAAAATTACTTTCATGGTGCAGAACTGAAGGTATGCTCCATTGAGGAATCTGGCTTCTTGTTACCCCAATGTCTACCACAGAACTTGCAGGACCAGTTCCAGCTTCAGGAATTAACTTCTGCCTCCAGCCTGCGCGACCCCCACCGCCTCCGCCTCCGGATCCCCAGTAATTCCGTACTTCCCAATCCCTTACCCGCTTCACGGTCCAGTAGGAAAGTTACTCTCTCCTTCAGAAATGAGTTGGGTCAGAGAGAAATAGTTGGAAAAGCAGCCTAAGGCTGACCCAGCGACAACTAGCGGTAATTACAATAACGATGTGCTTTATTGGGAGTGACAGACCGAGGGAAACCTCAGCTGTAAATTGGTAACAAACACCAACTTCTAAGTTTTCCTCACTTCTGCTAGAAAGTGGCAGAACTTTCTTTCAACAAAGTGGGTGGCTCTGAAAAGAGCCGTTTGATGACAAGGGCCTGCACAGGGACTCACTTGGAACTAGTATATTTGGTGACCGCCTTGGTGCCCTCCGACACGGCGTGCTTGGCCAGCTCCCCGGGCAGCAGCAGGCGCACCGCCGTCTGGATCTCCCGGGACGTGATGGTCGAGCGCTTGTTGTAGTGCGCCAGGCGCGAGGCCTCGCCCGCGATGCGCTCGAAGATGTCGTTCACGAACGAGTTCATGATGCCCATGGCCTTGGACGAGATGCCGGTGTCGGGGTGCACCTGCTTGAGCACCTTGTATACATAGATGGAGTAACTTTCCTTGCGGCTGCGCTTGCGCTTCTTGCCATCCTTCTTCTGTGCCTTAGTAATGGCTTTCTTGGAGCCCTTCTTCGGGGCCGGAGCCGACTTTGAGGGCTCAGGCATAGCCGTCCTTAACAACTGTCCAAGTAGATATTTCTACTTTTCACAAGAAAGTAAGCAAGAGGAACAGGCTTGAGCAGGTTTATTTATAGCGCTGTAATGCAAATGAGGGTATTAAAGTTTCCACTTCTGATTGGATTCTGAAAGCACGGGGCGGGGTTATGCAAATAAAATTCTCTCTTTCTATTGGCTAGAAACGCAACATATTTTGACCAATAGGATGGCTCATTTTCACAGCACAGTCCGTTGATTTTTTCACGCTGCAACGCTCCTGCTTCCTTTATTTCGGAATTTTCTTTCTTTCTTTCTTTTTTTTTTTTTTTTTTAACACATTGCTGTATCTGGATACAGCGAACAAGGAGGTAAAACTGGTGCCTAGGCCAAGACGCGCTCTTCCGCACTGGGCTACAGTTCCCCATTGGCCGAGTCCACTGCCCGCTTCGCAAAGGAAAATACGCGGAGAGTGTTGGGCCAGAACGTGGGTCTACCTGGCTGTGCTATCCAGTAACTGCCAAGAATCTGGAGCTGGTGGACGACGCGCCACCTACCTTTCCTTCTTCGTTTGGGCCAACATTCACGCAGTGCTGCTATCCAAGAAGACTTGAGAGCCACAAATATGAGGGAAACTGCAACCCGCAGCACACTAGAGAACTAAATTCATTTTCTCCAAGTTTTATACAGAGCGATCTGTGTCAACAAGATCTGATTACTAGGGTTATGCCACAAATGTTCTTAATCCCAACGTAATGTCTTAGCAACTAATGTATATTCCTAAAACAGTAATGTTTAAAAACAAAGTTCCAGGAAAACATGATATGTACAAGAAATCTTATTACAAAACAACAATGTTCCTTAAAAGGCAAGCGGGAATATCACTTAGACTCAGAAAAAAGGATAAGAAAATTTGCTCCTAGCTAATAATAAAGCAGCACGAGTTTTCCCTAAATCCACTTAAGCCAAATATCTCTTTCCCAAACCGAAATCGGAACACTTGTTGTGGTCCACAGTGACTGGTTATGCATTCGCAACCGTAACCTGCGAATACAAATTAATTAGTCTCGGTTCCCAGTGAGACTGATTCAGCTTAACATGATGTTCAAATTATTCATTATGCAAACAGTATTTAGAGGCCGGATGACTTATGGCTTCTGAACCTTTATGTCCACAGATCATTGAGACCAAAACAAAAGTCAGACAGGGGAACAATTTATCCAATCAGATTCTCTTCTGATCAACCAATCACCTAGGTCACTCTCCAACCAATGATTATATTGCGCGGGACTATTTAAAAGTTCAAAGGCCAATCAGAATGATTTCAACTATATTTAAGGACAATTTCAAGTAGTTTTTTACACTTTCTGACGTGTAGTCTCCTAGATGGCTCGTACGAAGCAGACAGCCCGTAAGTCCACCGGCGGCAAGGCGCCGCGCAAGCAGCTGGCCACCAAGGCCGCCCGCAAGAGCGCCCCGGCCACCGGCGGCGTCAAGAAGCCTCACCGCTACCGGCCCGGCACCGTGGCGCTGCGCGAGATCCGCCGCTACCAGAAGTCCACCGAGCTGCTGATCCGCAAGCTGCCGTTCCAGCGCCTGGTGCGCGAGATCGCGCAGGACTTCAAGACCGACCTGCGCTTCCAGAGCTCGGCCGTCATGGCGCTGCAGGAGGCCAGCGAGGCCTACCTGGTGGGGCTGTTCGAGGACACCAACCTGTGCGCCATCCACGCCAAGCGCGTCACCATCATGCCCAAGGACATCCAGCTGGCGCGCCGCATCCGCGGGGAGAGGGCGTAAATCCATTCTGTTAACAAAGGCTCTTTTAAGAGCCACCTAAAAACTCAACTTTAAAAGTGTCCGCAACATACGTAATGGTCTCTATTCTGTACATAGGTAGGTAAACGCTTCCTACTTTTCCTTGGTTTTACAGAACAGGTTCCTATACTTTCCATGCCAAGGTTGTTTGGCAAGCAAGACTAGGAGGTATTTGTGGATTTGCACTGGTCCTTTACCAAGATTTTGAGATTAACCATCTTGATAGCTTTTTTTCCTTTTGATAGGATCATTGCAATTTTTTACTTTTCAAAAACGTAATATTGTGTAAGAATTTAAGGCTGCTTTCAAAATTGATTTACTTTTGGGGGATGAGATGTGAGTTGAACAATTTTGAAAGACTTCAGACTTGTTTCTGGCTCTATCAAATCTTGATTTACTCTGTTGTAACTTTCAGTGCTGGTTACTATAAACACTGGAAAGTCACAAGATGACATTTAGTCAGTGCTCACAGTAAGGAGTAGGTATTTTCCTTACAGCCATAGGAAATGGTTTACACAGGAATCTTAGGATTGACTAGCAACCATTGAACTACATGTGAGTGACAGCAGATCACACTCATCAGTATTCCAACACAATCAGACAAATGCAGATTGTAATTGAAGGGAAGCTCTAATGCAAACGAGGTCTTAAACAGTTATGATTGGAAAAAAAAAACAAAACATTTACTCCACTGTGCAACTAAACTAGAGCAAAATGAGTACATTCCTAGAGCCCAACTCAAGGCCTTTTTGAGTGTTTTTGGATTCAGGGTGAATGTCTGCACTGGTTGTTTCAAATCCTACCTGGCCTTCCTTGGCATCTTCATTATGCTAATATACACCTGTAGAAGTATTCTGGATTGGAATACTTTGGTGTGGCATGACTCTCAGGCATCTGAGATGCAGCCCTGGCTTAGTCTGATATTTGGATGGTAGTGCCATTCTCAGTTACCAAGATACAACTTATCCTTGTAGGTTGTAATGCTGACTTTAAGCAAATTGAAAACTTTTAGTAACTAAAGTGCTCTGGTTCAACTTTACAAGGTTTTATAAATCCATTCAGTACTGAATATCATCTTACTTTAAAGAGGTACTCATGGAAGAAAGTGACAATAAAACAATGGATTCACTAGAGTCAGTCTATTTTTTCATGGGTTTAGTAATATGTGGAGCTATTGGCCTGAATTATGCACGATTCTTACTATAGCATTTCCAGGCAATATTCCATGTCTCCCATTTTATAGAAAATGAATTTAAAGCTAAGAGATTTAGCTAAATTGGCCAAATTAACATTTCTAGCAGAAATAACTTCCAGCATGTCTCCCACCAAACCCATACTCTTAGTATCTTTTTATCAACAAATTTGCCCCCAAATTTCAATGACCTAGCACCAAAAATATTTAACTGAATATTTTCAATTACTTATTGAAATAATATTTTATTAGTTTTCATTTGTTTTTCACTTTAATGTGGCATTAGAAAATTTTTAGATCCATGTGGATTATATTTCTGAGCAATATTGCTAGTATATAGAAGTTATACTGACTCACAGATAACTAACTAGTTTTAATCCTTAAATTTACCAAGTCTCCATTCTTCATCACTAAAATGGGAGAATAATGGTACCTACCTCAAAGTGCTGAAACAAGGGCATTTCTGCAAACAAAGGTAATCAGCAAAGTGCATGGCATGCTGTGAGTACACTACAAAAGCCAGTTCCCAGGACCTTGGCACTGCTTCCTTAATCACTGTTCCCTTAAGTCCTCTAAGGATCTAGTCCTTTCATGGCCATGTTCAGATTTCAACCACAAACAAACCCACTTTCTACATTTCCTCAGGGCACATAGCTCAAAAACCTAGAGCTTTACCCATTGGGAGTAATAGGAAATTTACTTTTTCAGCCATGAAATCACTATGCAAGAAAGTTTGGAATAATGCATTGCAAGTAGCCTGTAACTAACATCTGTTATTTATTCTTCTATTATACATAGACAATTTCTTGAATTTTCATGGTTGAGATGGTCAGCAGCTTAGTTTATGAAACATTTATTGTCATTTTGGCATGATTATCAGTGTTTGGGAAAATTACTTGAATATATTATTGCCGCTTGCCAATATTTTATAAAACTAGATGAAAAACTGAAATGATAATATTAATGACAAATATGGATTTTGAAGAGGATCAGAATGTCACCCCCAAAATATGCCATAATGTCACAAGTATTACTTTGAGCTGAAAGAAATTGAAAATCAACAGATGCAGGAAGCATTCTGTTTTCTCCCTACCTAACTAAAATTAGGTAGGTCATAAGTTCCACACTGTGAAGATCGCATTAATGTTCCTTGTAAAGTTGTTCCCTGCTCCGATGCCTGGAACAGGAGAGCAACCTGTATTACTTCAAGTAAAGAGGTGGTACTGAGAGGAGTCTGGAAGAATAAATCTTCCTAAAGAAGCACTTATCTTCCTTTAGTTTTGCCCATATATTTCTTATTCATCTTCCCCAAAAGTATCCCTGCCTTGAAGACCAAGTTTCCTTTCCTTTGCTACAATGTTATATACATTCCATTGTCTGCTTTCTTTTCCTTTTTATGAACTCTGTGCAAGTAAAATACTATTAAAATTATATAGATTTTTTTTATTCTCCTGTTAATCTATCCTTTGTCAGATAAATTTGCTGGTCCTCAATTACTGAACCTAACAGGGTAGAGGAAAAGCTGTCCTCCATGACTGTTTCATCAACTAAATCAAAAGACCAGGATTTTTTCTTAGAATGACCAATTTTAAGATTCAAAGAGTGGTTCATTAGAACTTATCCAGACAACAATGTGAAAAACTGCAAGGGAATGAACAAAACTAAAGAACATGGACAAGTTGAGGAAATACATTACTGAAGACTGTAAAGGCAGGTCTTTATAAAATTTTAGCTCACTATAGTACAAGGAATATTACGTTTGAAAGGATATCTTTGATGTATGGAAATAATTTTAAAGGGAATATTCAGTATTAAAATCATTTGTAAGTATATAAAATCAAATATATTGATATCCCAAAAAACATTGAAGGAAAAATATAAAATCACTTTTTTTGCTTGGGTTGATTCCTGCCCTATTTCTTGGAGGAGGTGCCAAAGTCAAGTAAATTGGTAATTTCAAATAAAGAAGAAAGGGGCACAGAAATGAATACCCTAAACATCCTGAATATATGGTGGGCATATTTGGAATATCTTAATTAAGTGTCCAGGTTGTTGTTAACCTGATTCAAATTGAAAGTGAGGTGGCCCCAGGCAAAAGTTCAGATGGCCTAAAGAACCCAGGGCACAGCTCTCACCCATGCCTTTCTGGATGGGTTCCTCTATTCTACAAATTTTGCCCTAAGGATACCTTGTTTTTTCTTTGTATTATCCAGGAAGCCACCTGCTATGCCCTGACATCAGGTCATCTCTGCTTCTATAACTCAATTCCAGTTTTTGAATAAGTTTTGATTGGCTCAAACTGGTTCAATGGCCTCTACCAACTACTGTTGTTTAAGGTCAGATAATCTATCCTCAAGTTTTTAGTAAACATGAGATATATTTAAAAAAATATATTATTTGAACCAAAGATGAGACCACAGTAGGCCAGGATAAAACCAGAGAGCATTCTAGAGTTGCACTGTTCATATGTCCACAAGGCACAGAAGGCTGAGCCCTGGAAATGGGCTTCTGTGAACTGTGTTGTAAATGTAAAATACACATGAGATTTTAAAGACGGGGGAGGGGTGCAATGTAGAATATCTCATATTTGTATTTTTTGTTGCATGATAATGTTTTGGATATGTTGAGGTAAATTAAGAATATAATTAAAATTGTTGTTTTGAGTTTTTTTTTTTTTTAGTTGCTTCTAGGAGGTTTAAAATTATTGTGTGGCTGACACTTATATTCACCTTATTTAGCAATGGATAAAACTGATCTACAAATTGTTAATTCACTTGTGCATCAATTTCAATAACCAAGTGGCTTCAGTGTACACTTTGAGATACTCTTAAAAAAACTAAAATATTATAGGGTGCTATTTTGAACAGCAAGAAAGAAAATAAATATCAAAGGCAATAAGATGGAGAAAATTTTAAATTGAGTAGAAAACAAAAATACTTGGACAGAAAAACAAGAAATTTCTTGCATAATAAAACTGCCTGGGGCCTGGGTATGCTTGTAATCCCACCAAATGAAGAGGCTGAGGTGGGAGAACCACAGGTTCCAAGCCAGCATTATTAACTGAGCTAGACCCTCATCAACTTGAGGAGACCCTGTCTCAAAACAGAAAAAAAAAAAAAAAAAAAAGATGTAGCTTAGTGGTAAAATGACCATGGGTTCAATTCGACAGTACAAAACAAACAAATTCCCAAAACCTTCATATCTATAAATTAATAATTTATAATTTTAGCACAATACCAGTAAAACTTTTTGAGTGACTGGGTGCGGGGTGATGGAGTTGGAGAGCATCTTAAAGGACACACGTAAAAACAAAATAAGCCAAAAATAAATAAACAATTCTAAAAAAAATAAGCAATGAAAGTCCTATTAAAGTCACAGTATCTCAATATTATTTGAGTACCTATGTTTTAGGTATTGTTGGCATTGAAGATAGTGCTGAGAGCACTTAAAACAATGATCCTAACCTCAGAATTGACCATAAAGAACAAAGGAACTAAATATAATCCGGAAATTTAGCCCACATATCTGTGGAATTTGGCATTTGGTAAAGGGGATTTACTTAACAGTAAGTCACTCCTGTTACTGTAAAACTGACAATACAAACTTACTGAAGAACCAGTGGGAGACCTTTCTTGCATCCCTCCCTTCCAGGTGATAAACTCCCCCCGTGAATTAACTCACAGTGGATTCACCTTGTGGAAATGGTGGAAAAACAGCAGCAGGTCTCCCGAGGCCCCATCGCTATACGAAAAAGCAGGAGCCAGAGTATCTGTTCCCAAGGGAAAGGCCGCTTAGGGAAGGACCAAGAGCGCTCATGAAAGTTAAAGG